ATTAGCCGGGCGCGGTGGTGGGCGCCTGTAGTCCCAGCTACTCGGGAGGCTGAGGCAGGAGAATGGCGTGAACCCGGGAGGCGGAGCTTGCAGTGAGCCGAGATCGCGCCACTGCACTCCAGCCTGGGCGACAGAGCGAGACTCCGTCTCAAAAAAAAAAAAAAAAAAAAAATTAATACCTCGTATTGCTGTAGAAGGCATTAAAAGAATCCAAATTTCCGGGATAATTCAACTGATAGCCATGAGGGACATTTGTGTATACATTTGGAACAAACGAGATTGGGTAGTTAAAAGTATTGGGTCCCTCATTTTCATGATGATATACTGGTGCTCCTCGGACATAGTTATTACGACTGTTTATATTATTTATATTATTCTTTGGATAGTAGGTATAGCTTTGGTTCTTTTTCATGAAGGTTTGATTATTTTGAAATTTTTTATAATTTTGTGATACAGCAAAATGTAGGAAAACAACTCGGTTGTCAATAATTCGTTCGGGTTGCTGCATAACTTTAAATGCTTCTTTTGGTGAGGAGAATGTTAAAAAACCATATCCTTTGGATTTCCCTTCATTGTCATGTATAATTACACACTCTTCTAATTTCCCATATTTTTCGAAAATATCTCTCAACGTGGCCACGTTTGTTTTTTGGGATAAATTTCGGACGAATAATTTATTTTGATAATGATCTGTAAATGGGTCAGCTACTAATCTTACTTGCAACTCTTTATTGTCTAAGGTATGACTACTTTTTAAGCATTTCTGTACAGACTCGACATATTTAAAAGTGACAAAACCATACCCTTTCGACCTACCTTCCTTTTCTCTTACTATAATTCCATCCTCGATTTCTCCAAACTGCTCAAAGTATTTTAAAAACTGTTCATCACGAGTACTGAATGGGATATTACGCACCATTAACCTTTTCGTAGACGGGGAGGAAGCAACCGCTTCGTTACACTTGTCACGTATGTCTTGGTGGATTAAGGCGGACGTTGCCAGGATGTCTATTAGCTGTTCTTTGGATAAGGGCGCGATTAATCTCCTGAGGCTTTCAGCTTCTGATTCCTCATCCTTTACAGCCTTCTCATTTGTACTGACCTCCTCATCAATACTTTTCTTGTCCTGCGAGGAATTGGAGTTCGCTTGGTTGTAGTGGTAGTTTATATTTTCTTCAGAAGTCATTTTCGCGACAATGGCGTAGGATATCGTAGGGTGGTATGTATGTGTGTATATTACACACTTAATGGTGCAAAGTTCGCGCGAAAGTAATACAAGGATGCGCTAATGCTTTTCGCTAATCTACACTGGTACGTTTTCTATAAGCGCTTCAGTTAAGTTTCCTTTTTGTGTTAAAATTGGGTTAGGTGTGTTACGGCAGAGCTTGCAAGTTGGCGAGTATACGCGTATGTATATTTTTCCTTTTTAAATTAATCGACGGTAAAAAAAAATTGGGAAAATATAAGAGGATCAAAATGGAATTGAAAATAATCTTGAGTGTTGTGTGTGTATATAAATGGGATTAAATAAATGAATTGGAGGATATAGTTTTATATATATATATATTTCTTTTTCTTTGTGCGTTTTTCCTTCAATACAGCTGTGAATCGGTAGAGGTTACTTTACTTTTTTTTTTTTTTTTTTTTTTTTTATTTCATTTAATATATCAGAGAATTCTTTTCAATCCTCAAAATGGTATGCTCTTTTTGGCTGTTCAACAATTGTTGCTTCACGTTGCAATTAATTCATATTTCGGCGTCTGTGCAAGTGTTCAAAAAGTTATGCTTAGTTCTTGTTCCCCAAACACATATATATATATGTGTGACTATATTGGATGCACGCTGGGGTTTGTTGCTTCGCGGAGGGATACGTCTCGTGTGGGACAAAGGGACAACAATGGCAGGCAGCTTAATAAATACACGGGACGGAACAGTTCGGAAAACTTCGGAAAATTGGGGCAAAATTGGGGCAAAATTGGCGCAAAATTGGACACGGCAAAGCGGAATGTGGACAAAAACGGGGGAAATTACAGGGTCCACGGAAGGGACAAGTGGGGGGACAAAAAATTGGGCTGATTAAAACACACAAACAAACAAAAGGGGCAAAAGTACAGACCGAGTTCTCGCTAAGGCATAACTACTAGCCGTACTGACTAATGCATCTCGGGTCAGTTTTGCCAACACACAGGGTTAAACACACGCATAAGGCACGCGTACACTATGCATGTGCAGAGGGGAGGAGTAACGAGGAGCCAAATGTGGGGAGGGTGTATAAGCAAACATATGAAATATATAATTATATATATATATATTTATGAATGTAAACTCATATATGTTGTTGCGCCAGGGCGGTCAGGCAAGCAATCTCAAGGGGGTCACTAGGTGTGCCAAGTTTGGGAAAGCAAGATCCCGCGTGCGCCCTCCATAAAATTTGGCTCTCTAAAGTTCAAATGGGGATCAAATAAGTGTGGGCACGAGGGGGGGGAAAATCAAAGAGAATAAAAAGCACAGCGTGCCAAAACACAAACGCGAGGAAATAAATAGGATTATTTAAGTGCGGTAGGGCCAATGCGCAAAAAAAAAAAAAAAAAAAAAAACGAACGCGAGAAAAACAAACGACGGAAAGAAATAAAGCCAAGTAGAACTAATCACAAATCTACTAGTAATATGTACTCAAAAAAAAATTACTTACGTAACGCGGGGGGGAAACGTAAAACACGAAGCAAAACTGGGTAAATTTACTCTTCTATATATGATATATATATATATACCATATGTAATGTAAAATGTATACGTAACACGTGTATATAATAGTGCGGGGTGCTCCCTTGCTTGTGCGCGCAAGCGGTTAATGAGTCGAACAAAGCGCTTTTTTTCTGCGGCTGAGTAGGGGCAATTGGGTGGCGAATGCGGCGGGGCGCATATATTTAGTGTATAAACTTGTTACCCATGCTCTGTACGTATTGCGCACTCATGCCAGTTATGTAACATTACATATGTTGCACGCGAGTACACATATGAATGAACATAATTGTACAGGTAAATAAATGTACATATAAAAGGTACCATATGTATAATATGTGTACAAATGCATGCAGCTGGGTTTGGCCACAGAACGGCTTTTATTTATGCTGCCCCTTGCGTGCCGCGCCAAACGGTTTCTACCAGCGGGGTGAAAAATCAAAAAAAAAAAAAAAAAAAAAAAAGCCAGAACACGAATGAACAAATGAACAA